AAACATTACAATGGTGCAAACGCCGTTGGAATTGGTTGGATTTCATATACCGCATAAAAAATCGAATAAAAAAAGGTTCTGTATTTTTATATAAAATTTATGAAATAATTTTTAATATTACAAATGATCAGAAGATACTTTTGGCCAGATGTTAACATTTCATATATTTTTTTTAATATTTTATTTTTCAATATTTTTTCTACATAATACAATTTTAAATAAGATTTTAACACCTAAAAAAACTCCATCAGCTTAAATTATTCAATTTAGAATCGATCCGTCTTGATTCGATGCATAATGAAATAACTGAAAGGAAAAAATAAAATAAATTTAGGCCTTTATAAAAAGCACGACATATAAATGCGGCGAAGATCCCTTCACTCCCTGTTTTTCTCTCTCGGTTGTATTCGTCGCGCTGAGTAAATTTGAATTGGAAATATTCGGAATGGATTTTTTTCCACTGCTTTTAAGAAGGTTTTCGACAAAGTGGATCGAGATTAATGTAAGAAAAATTAGTGCTATAAATCACTGCGCGAGGGAACAGAATATAATTTATAGTTGAAATGTTTCTATTGTTGCTAAGCGAGCTTTCAGTACCTACGTGTAATAGAAAGAAGGTTGAATTTACTTCGTTCGTCTTTGAAAAACTGGGAATCATCATTGGGTTAACATGAAGTTGCTATGGAGATGGATCTAACGATGTTTTTATTTTAATTGGAGGATCGAAGATATCAGTTTTTTTGTTATATATATGAATGAATGAAACAGTTGAAAATTATTGGAAAAATAATACTATTGCTATTTTTGACGAAGGACCAAGTTGCGCGGGTGAAGGAAGAAATCGTTGGGGTTGCAAGATGGCGGTTTATTTACTACATCTTACATACATCGCTTACACTATCTTACTTAATACTCAACTACCGAACTCATAATACTAATGTTTCTTCCTGCTTAACTCACCCGAGCCAAGCTTCCTCGACAACTTCATGGTGTAAATTTTACTGCATTGCCAGCTTTCAGCGTTGCCACTCTTAAACAATTGCTATAATTGTAGGTGAATTTAACACGATAGAAAGTTTTCTTACGAAAAACTTATAATTAACTTGTAATTGATTTTCAGTGAAAAGAAAATTAATGTAATTAATCAGTTGGTAGATCAATCATTCGATCGTCGGAGTGTTAAAATGTTGTGAAATTGTATATTTTACAGCAGTACCTCATATAGTACGGATTTGATTAGTCCGTATTCACTATAGTCCGGTTCGAAAATTTCAAAACAAACTAAATTTTAATTGAAGAAAATATAGATAAAAAAATTATACACAAAATTATTTTTGTATAATGCACATAAATTATTGTTTTTATTTCTTTATACAGATTTTTTAATCTCCCACATTAAAAACATACCATTTCCCAAATGTAGATAATTAAGTTTTAAAAACTGTGTAGAATAACAAGGATAACTGTAAGATTATTTTGAGGAAAAATGGGGGTTGAGAAGACCAT